AAAAGCTGTTCTAAACCTAAACTGTAAGTTTGAACTTAGCAGATATAAGGAGCAAATTGTTGAATGTAATTAAACGATTCCGGATTTTGGTATACAACTGATCAATCAAACACACCTATAACCAGAAAAGGTGTCCAGCTATTATATAAACGTGTATTATGGATTATCTCTACACCCGAAGTTATAATAATCTGCTTTATATCGTAATCTCTCTATGTATGTGTGTAAATATACCGACACATTGTTTCATTAAGCCACGTTGTACTGATATCGCTGATGACTTTGCGCAACACAAATCTACGATTATTCAGTCCAGTTATTAGCTATCTGGCGAAATTCATTGACAAGTATTATTTTTATACCTGGTAACGTCTTATCGCGGTATTACCTTATATGGAATTATGACTGTTGATTTTGCTCAAGAAGTCGAGAGTTGTAAAAGGATCTTACAATTCGTTATTGACCCGTTACGACCTTTTGCATTGACTCTGTTATTATGTCGCGTGTATGAAATAATGCAGGATCCAGTGCGATATCGACCCGTTACTTGACCCACTATTACAGAACACCGGATAACACTTTATATACGATGAGTTCAAATGTGAAATGAAATGAAATGAGGTTTAACGTCCTATTGTTCTGCTTCGACTGAGATAATAAAGACGGGCACACGCCATACAGTGTGCTATGAGGGACATTTTGCCCGGACAGCGGCACTATGGCCTACTCTAATATCGAATTCCAATGTATACACGGGACCTCGGTTTTTAATCTCATCCGAATGACTAGACAACTAGACAACCCTCCGTTCTGCACCACTGACAAGGAGAAATCACGTCGGAAAATGCCGATGAACTTTCTCCGCCAATGCAGGGATCGAACACGCGACCTCCAAACTAGCGAGCCAGCGTCTTACCCACTTAGCCACCGTAGCTCCCAGTTCAAAACGCCAACGGTTTCTTGTACTTTTGTAGCTATAGAATGTGATTAAAATGAGTTAAAGGTCCTACTCTGACTGGGCTAATGAAGACGGGCTTACACCATACAGTGTGATATGAGGAACATTTTACCCGGACAGCAGCGCTACAGCCTACTCTTACATCGAATTCCAACTGCCAGGGCATTTTATACGTGCACGCTAATGTGTACACGGGATCTTGGTTTTTTCGTCCCATCCGAACGATTATACGTTGTACATTGGTAGGTCCTTCGTTCTACACCACTGACAAGGGGAAACCACGACGGAAAAATTAATTCAGAAGCATTCGAATTAAAATACAAGAATAAAATCATTTTGTGTGGGTTTACAATGCCCTCCGTCTTACTCACTTAGCCAGCAATATTCTACCCCGTAGCCCTCGTCTTACAAAATTCATACCCAAACAATCGCTCCAATTAGTAGTAAGTAGTGGCGGATACCATACACGTGGCAGGTATACATAGTCTTTCTAGAACATCAGATACCACGTGTCGTCTGAAGAATGCACACAACTAACACGTCTTTTGCTATCCCTGGAAGGATACGAGGCCAATTATAAAGTTTCGAAATATTGATATACTGTTTCTTCTTAATCAGTTATATATACTTTCGAAAGCAAGTCTAAATGGTGGCGATCAGAGAGCCTGCTGCTGCTGCTGCTGGTGGTGGTGGTAGGGAGCGGGTAGATTGTAAGATTGGTTCACGCGGAAAAACCCAATGCAATGCATTTTTTTCAGAAATATCAAAAATATATACATGTATATTCGATTTGGTGCTTTTTCTTTCAATAGTACCTCAACCCCACAACCGGAAGTGAAACGGACACCAGCGAAATTCAAATGATTTAAAATTGTCGATTTTAACTCTCAGAAATATTCATATATTAGAATCGAAGCTATTTGACTGCCCGATGAAACATAATTGGTACTGAGTACAAATAATATAATTACCTGTGGTCTCATCAGTAATATCGCACACTGTTTCCATTATACACTGTAGTTATGGTGAAAGTATTTATGTGAAAATAGCTAGCTGGTTGACTGTAGGTCTATTATGTCATAGTTTTCATAATTTAAAGCATAAGTTGTTCTCAAAAGAGTTACAGTGTTAGTTGACTATACGAAAATCACCCAAATCACTGTTAGGTCCTTGAATCGGGCTTAAATATCATTGTACTACCATATAAGGGAATGTTACATTTCTGCCTGTAGTCAGTTAGCTATTGAACCAATTCTCTTACTGTATACTGGCGTCCTTGGGGATATCACATGATCCTCAATACCACACTTATTACCATATATAGTCAAGATGATAGAAGGTAAAGCAAACATAATTCTTTAAAGGGACACTTCATTAATACACTGCATAAACGGTGTTTGTAATCTGTGTGCTGAGCAATGTCAATAGTTTCAACGGGTCCTTTAAGAGTTATGTCCCTTTATGAGACGGTAGAAGCAACGGTATCTAAAGATTGGTCAAAGTAAGACAAAACAAACCGTATGAAATATTAAAATTAAGGGAAACCACAACAACTATATTGTATTATTGGTCAGTTGTTGAAACTATCAACTTTACTACCGGTTTCAATGAGGTGTCGAGACAATTGACGTTAAAGATTACCAGCCAATTTATCAGACATAGCTTCGCAGGGAAAGACATTTTAAACACAACGTCATGGTTTTTGTTGTTATTATTCTGGCTGTTATTTTAAAGATCTTAGCAAACTGAATCTTAACCATGTTTATAATGATGTTAATAGTAAATGTTTTAAGGCGATGAGGTCACTTTTATATAGGTGTAAACAAAATGTCTACACGAAATGATGTTAATGAACAGGTCCTCTGTTGACAAAACTGCCTCACAAACAATAATTATGAAAAAATATCATCAGTATACCATAACTCAATATTTGTTTTTTCTTATAACATTCCAAAAACAGAAACATCCCCTTTAAAAGCAGCATTTGGTGTGTTTTATTACAAGTTAATATTATGTGTTTAGGACTTTTTTAAAAACATTTTCTTGGAAACCCTTATATTTTATATTTTGTGAAGGTGTGTGATTGTTTTATGTTCCATATTTGGTAATGTTCGTTACGCTTTCGTAGACCTGAACTTCTAGTAGACGTTGGCCATATACGGTAATTAATCGATAGTCAATATAATATACAAATTCAAATATAGTCCTGATCACCAGGATCGTTAAGGTACACGCATCATTTATCAGTAGTCTCTATTAACTAGCCTGTAGAGCGGCAGGTTATTAGGCGTGTATGTAATGTTTGTATTTATAAACTGTACATGAATGAATGAGTGTAACCTGTCGTATATATAATTATCTCAGAAGGATAATATGAAACCTACGTCTCGATGATAATGTACACGTAACAGACAGTGGGTATGTAATAATTTCTGTAATAGATCTAATTGTGTTTTCTATGGTTAAGACGATTTATAGAAGACTAAACGTGTTTTAAAATAAATCATGGCTGAGTTTTCGCTTATTAAACACGTATCGGGCACATATTACCATGTTATCTTTGAGCTTTTCAGTTTGAATTGTAAACCCACACAAAATGATTTTGTTCTTGTATCTTTATTCGAATGCTTCTGATTCATTTCTGCGGCGTGGTTTCCCATGGCAAGGGACAACACATAGTCGTTCGGATGGTACGTCAAACCAAAGTCCCGTGTACACATTGACGTGCACGTAAAAAAAAACCCCTTAACAGTTGGAATTCCAAATAAGAGTAGGCCGTAGCGCCGCTGTCCGGGCTAAATTTCCATCATAGCACACTGCGTGGCCTATGCCTGTCTTCATTAGCTAAGTCGGTACAGTAGGAAGCTAACCCCCGGTTCATTTCATTCAAATGCACAACAAAAATAATACAAATTTAGAAATCAAAGTACATGAAAGTGAAATCGTTCTATGACGGAGAAGCCTTTTAAATATAAATGAAAACCGTGGTGCAAGATTTAATGTAATTTAATCCGTAAAATAGGGGCTTCAGGGGTGTTTTTCCTAAATTAAAAAGAAGGGGGGGGGGGTTCTTGGTCAAATTAAATGAAATGTCAGAATCGAGTGCTGCGTACGCCACCCACACTCATACAACTTTGTAAAATCGATGCCATTTGGTAGAAAATCGTTTTTACTGCCTTGAAAAAGGTCAATTTTGACAATGAACTATAGCTGTCATCAATCGAGAGAGAGAGAGAGAGAGAGAGAGAGAAATGGGGTTTAACGTCCACTCGACACAAACTAGGTCATTTCGGGACTAACATATGGTTTAATTTTATTTCAATAATTTGCTTGCGCGTAGTGCTCTTTAGCAGTGGGAGGAAACCGGAGGACCCGGAGAAAACCCACGAGGTTGGGTCATCAATCGAAGGACTGTCAATATATTAAAATACAAGAGAATAAAATCTGAAGTTGATGAGCCTTTCCTGGCCAAAACTGTTGTTTGAATGCAGATTTTATTATAGGAAACATTTGTCTGGAGGTAGACCACCATTAATTTCCACATTGACTTCAATGTTAATTCTGGCCTCTTTGCCCACCTCTAACTTTTCCCCATATTTTCACTACAGACAGAGGAACATTGGTCATGTCTTTGCACTAAAATTTTTATGAGGTTGAACAACAAAATTTTGAGATACACGAACTTGAAGAAGCATGCTAAAAACATGTAACTAGTTGCCAACCTGATAACCCCGTTATCCTTCCGCCTCAAAATCATGAATATTTACCAAAACCTGGCAGAATATGTTAATTCAAACCCTCTTCTTCATTCTAGACCAAAAAATCAACAAAAATGGACATGCAAAGGGCGAGAAAAGAGACACAGAGAGAATTGCTATAAATAGGCGAACTACAATTCACCGAGATGGTGAAATTTAATGGTGGTCTGCCTCCGTCTGTATCCTTGGGCTTAAGGGAGTTGCGCCCCCTTATCGGCAAATAATGAAACAAACCAGTTGTCACTGTCAGTAATAAAACGCGTTTTAACTTTTACCTTTTTCAGGGAAATAAAAGCAACACGGATTTAAATGGGCATGTTTTTTATTTACACAAAACATTTCGAAATGGTTGCAGCAAAGGATTTCCTTCTTACGTTATTTTGGATAATTCATTATAAGTCAGCTGTGACTTAAGTCTCCAGAAATATAGCACAACAATTTGTTAGGAATACAATCAGTTAATGGAGAATAAAGGAAGGTGGGACAAATGTCAACCCCAAGGTAAGACCGATATGATTATTTACAAATAAGAAAATATTGTTTTTGTACATAAACGTACCTGCAGTGAGACTAATTAGACACGAGTGCAAGTAAAGCACCAATGCGCGAAGGTGTTTTACTATTGATTTTCAACTATTCTACTGTAGATCGCATTTTAAACAGACACCCCTCGCATAGTGCTATGACTAATGCATCTTTTCTTAAAACAATAATACTCATTTATTTATCAAATGTCCAAAATGCCATAAGATCAAATTTGTAATTATGAAAAGCGTCGGCGAAAAAACCCATCGCTATTTAATTTAAAATGAAATGAAGATTAACACCTTACTTTCCTGCACCTATCGGAACATTACTAGAAATAGCGCTGGAGCTAGGTCAATATTAATAAAAGGTTTTTTGTATTATAAACTTTATTTCAAAGAAGCCACGGACAATGCGAAAACGAGTTTTCAGAGGAATATTAAAGATCTCCAAGAAAAGCTAAATCAAACTCATCCGATTGAGCAAAATTTAAGAAAAAAGTCTGGCAGCTAATCGATTATAGACGGCAGTTTAAAGTAGCTAAGTCTCTAACTCACTATCATCCAAAGTCTTCGACATTGAAAACACAAATTATTTGTCACTTTAAATCAACATTAATTTTGTGATCTTACCGGGGAAAGATGGGCTTCTGATATCCAATATTTAAGACAACATAAACATTTTACCATTGGTACACGAATTGTGTACCATAATGCGTTTCAGCGTCATGTGTAACAAGGGACTCGAAGAACGAGGCTGGACATATTCCATGTGAAACGGTGACGACATATTCTTATCTGGAGAGCATGCGCAATAAATACTATCGGTGTAGACTGGAATAACAAGACGCCAGAGATTGCCATTCGATTGAGACTTCTGGCATATTTAGCCGAAAATAACTGATTAGAAATTAGAGTAAAAGCAGAAACGAATGAATGTAAAGAAGTTTATATACATTCATATTACATTATTATATATATTGCGACCCATTTGTGTCAATTTCTAGATCCCAAATATTAGCGACTTAGCTCCTTTAAGTTATGTTCCTATGATAATAAAAATCATCACAATATCGGCTATAAGTTACACGATTTTGAAAATGTAACATTTCTTTTTTGAACATTTATAATAAATCAGCACTTGCAAAAGTTATCAATTTTAAACCAACTACTGTACAATATAGATTTATTTCCCCAAAACTGCCAGTTATCAAAGAAAAAAGTTATGCAACCTTGAAAGACAAGTCATCGTGAAAAATACATAGGGTGCTTAAGTTTTTCTTTGTGTATGCAGCCGACTGTGTTTATTAAGACTGCGACAAAATCGTAAATTGAATTCCTAAGATAACCGAGATCAGGCTGATGTTACAATTCAGTAATGAAGTGAAATACCCTAATCTCCACACAGTGAGCGCTGGTCCAATAAGCGTCGGAAATTGATCAGACCCGGAAACCAGATTGACTGATAAATCTAATTAAAGGTGCATTATGTAAGAGCTAAATCCGCCTTTCTTTTGGCTTTAAGTTCAAATGTTATAATACAGACTATTATTTAGACATTTTTTATTCACATGACAAGCGTATAATCACCTCTTTAGAGTCTAGACCATCGGATGGACGAAATTTAATTTAATTTAAAAATGGACAATCTACTATCTATTGTCAAGTACCGTTGCTACGATATAATAAACAATCTATGCTTTCATTATATAATTTTGAACTATTTTAGCAACGGCTATAAATCTTACATAATGCAACTTTAAGGGAAACCACACTATTAACTATAATAACATTTACTTGTCGAGTCGTCGTTCATTCGTTCGTGGGGCTTAAAGTCCGCCTCGACCGATGGTAATATCAAAAACAAGCTTGTTTGAAGTAGAAGCTAAAGGGAAACAACTCCGCCAAGACAACAAACGGAGACTTTGTGTGAGCGGTCGGAATATAAATTTATTTTTTATCTTTATGAACGTACTCCTTAACTATGGTTATTAAAAACTCACCCATGTGTTTGTAATTAAACATGATTAAATAAAATCCGTTGTATATATTCCAATGAATAAATAAGTTCTCACCAAAAATTCAATATATCATTTCATTCGCTCCTGGCAAAATACGTACATGTTGAATTAGACTTGAGAGCCGCCTTGTAAGTTTAAATTTCGTGTATAACGTGTTATTGTTCATACTTTTGGGTAAAGCTAGAGAAGTGGCGTAGCTAGAGTTTAAGCCACCCGGGGCGGCCCTTGAGTATGCCCTTGACCACGAAAAAATAACATAATACAATCCTTGCCAGTGCACACGGACCTCAGCCAATAAATCCAGAATTTTTATTTTTAAAGATCAGTGTAGAAGGGTAATATGTGGGTTGATAATACTCAAAATCAAAAACACACTTTTATGGATAACAATTATTATGGTTTATTTCACTGCGACGTTTCAACAAGGCTTCACAAGTCGTTATCAAGTATATACACAAATAGATAAAAAAAAAATGAGAAAGATATGAATATATATACTATTCAAAAAAAGTAGGGGATATTTGATTTTTAAGTGTTATTAAAGTCACCTAATGAAACTGACGAAGAAACAAATGACAAAATGAAATGAAGTTCACATTCATCGATTTATTCCAAATGATCGTTAGACTAAGTAAGGCACAGACTGACCATTATAAGGGTAAAATGATACCCGGGGTCAAACAGCAAAGTTACCACAGCATCACAACCAAGCCAGTAACGGGTAAATCCTCCTCTGTTTGCCAAACAAGCATTGATCCGACGTGGCATACTCCTAATGAGACGTCTAAGGTCATTTTGGTCCAGATTGTTCCATTCCTGTTGCAACGCAGCAGCAAGTTCTTGGACATTGGCAGGACGTTGTTGACGTTGACGTAACCTCTGTCCAAGCATGTCCCAGACATGCTCGATGGGGGAGAGGTCGGGACTCAGTGCTGGCCAAGGTAATGTGGTGATGTTCTGTTGTTGGAGGTAACCTGTAACGATCCCGGCCCTGTGACATCTTGCGTTGTCATCCTGGAAGATGAAACGGCGGCCATGACGTCGTGCGAACGGCACAACATGGACTGCCAAGATGTTGTCCCGGTAGTACTGGCCTGTAACACGCCCTGCAACAACATGTAAAGCCGTTCTTCCAGCAACAGTGATGCCTCCCCACACCATAACAGAACCACCCCCAAATCGATCATGTCTGATGACGTTAACGTCTTGGAAGCGCTCGTTTCGACGACGCCACACCCTCCTACGTCTATCCAAAAAATCAACAGTGAACCTTGACTCATCTGAAAACATCACATTGCTCCAGCGTCGATTATCCCAGTGTTGACGATCCCTACACCAACGACGTCTTGCCTGAATGTGATGATCTCTCAAACAAGGGATCACGCGAGGACGTCGGGCGCGAAGGTGACCCCTATGCAGTCGATTCCGAATCGTCTGGCCACTCACTCTCACACCAGTGTCTGTTTGAAGACGAGCGCTGATCTGATTTGCTGTGATGACACGATTTCTCAAGGCCAAGGTACGGATAAATCGATCCTGGGCTTGAGTTGTCGCCCTTGGTCGACCTGAGCGTGGTCTGTCCTGTACAGATTGTGTATCACGGTATCTGGGCCATAGCCTGCTTATGACAGACTGAGAAACATTCATCGTCCGCGCCACAACCGCCTGTGTTGTGCCGATCTGTAGCATGCCAAGGGCACGTAACCTTTCATTTTGGGTAAGCCGACGCATATCAAAATTTGTTTTCTGGTCACTAAAACAATTAAACTGATGTTTCCACCCTGGAATTCAATGCCACAATGACTGTAACATTCAAAGTCAGAGTCGTGCAAATCTTGGGTTGGACCCCCATGATGATCCCAAGCATCACCTGCATTCCATGCGGTAGCTATTGGTGCGTTTGGGCGTCACATGTAACTGGAAATGTTTCTTCTGTTAGGTTCTATAGTGACTTTTTTCGTAGTCATTTGCATATTTTAGTATTATGCCCCCAAAATCAAATATCCCCTTCTTTTTTTGAATAGTATATATACCGACATCAGTGCGAACTATCCAATGGAATGCAAGGAGAGTGACCATGAGCAGCTATAACAAGTTATTGATGTAACAAAGGTGCATATATATTAGGATTGGCTTATTATACAATTAAAAAATGAAACAATGGATTAACCGAGATTATCAAATATTGAAACCATACACATTATACCATAACTGAAACCAGTATATACTAAGATTAACTAAATAAACATTCAAGAAGATAAAACTGAGGGTTTATAGAATTATATAGAAACCATAATCTATTCATTGATTATAACAGTTAAGAAATATAGAATTTTATGGTTATGTTTTATAGTTAAGTAATAAGCATATATGTATTTACAAGGTAAATATATATCAAAGGGTTGAATAAAATATAAATATATTATGATAAATTGAACAGAATGCACTATAATGAAAACGTTTTTGTAATTATAAATGTAAGAGGTAAGATATTGTCTTTGAGTTACATAGACATAAAATACATTGATTAGCTAAATAAATTATAGAAAATAATTGAAACATACAAATTTTCACATATTGATAACAGATGATTATAAATGTGAGGGTTGTGGTATGGAATATATATACAATCGATTCGGTATTGGATAATGCCAGAAGTTAAATATGGTTTTGCATGGGGAATTACTTTAGACGCTCTGGGGATATAAACGTCTGGATCTCGATTCAGTTTCGGTTCATGTCTTCTAATGTTGATAATACATTTATGGATATCTAAGATTTTTCATAATGCTAGGTTCGCACTATCGTGCGTTACGATAGGATTATGCCTTATTGGGTTCACGATCTGGTACGTGCAGATACGTTTGGATACGTTTCGATACGATCAACACGATTGCAACTTTTGCCAGCAACATTTGCCAGCAACATTTGATCAACCCCGAAAGGATCATCACGA